AGGGTGGTGAACGTTCCACTACATGTACATCGAATACGATTGCAGCTCTACAGTTGCAAGTCAGAAAAAAACCACTGCCGTCACCAATTTTTATACAGGTTCAGTCACAAAAAAAGTGATCTCATATCTATATTTGTGTTTTCTGTGTTCATGTTATATACTGCTTGTACTCGAAACGAACGTGTTTCCACAAAATTTCCAGATGCAGCAAGAGGCTAATTGCCCACCCCTCCAGATGCATCACAGACTCTTACAACACGATACACAGACATCGTTTGCCATGCAGCAAGTGTCAAAAATCATATTAGACAGACGAAAAATAACATAAAAATGTCTCTTTAATGACACAATTTGTGTTGGGAAGATTACTTATATGGATGGGGGCTTCAGTTGAGTCTTCACATTCTTGCAGGTACACATAGGCCTACATGTGTGTGCCGTTTAGCTTTGGTCGTCATCCATGGCGATCGCAAATCTTTTAAAAATCCCTGGATCAATACTTTCATGTGTATTTGCTCTTTATTCTCCCATGCACATTAATATTTTTCATATGACAGGGTATTTCATTATTCGAAACACATCACAATGTATTTGATTAATTTGTCGGCATTTTCACGAAAGTGACAAAAAACCACCGGGGCAAAATCGAAAATTTTTCAATATGGAGTTTTTCCTACCATTTTACCTCCTTTGATCTAAAAAAAAAATTAGCAAAGTTTCAAAACAAAATGTATTATTTCATAGTGACTGTAAACAAACAACTAACAAAAAGCTTAGCCTCTGTGTTTCTCTATGTGACAAAAAGTCACATCGTTATCCTTGCACGAGTCTGGGTTCACACATGCGAGCAAACGATGCTGTGCATGTACAGTACCTCCAGCCTACATGAACACCTGCGCGCGTGTTGAAATCCTGGGCAGCGCTCTCCATGAGTGATTTGACGTTGTGCTGAGTAAAATATATTTTTTCGGGCATTGCGCGGATCACTTTTGTAGCATATACAGAGTCTGCTTTTTGTGACTTTTTGAGAAGAATTCACCACGTTTATGTCTCCGACGCTTTGCGGCACCCACATTCCGAGGATAACCAGTAGATATACATAAACATGTGTACACTGAGCATCTGTCTGCGCACCACGCATAGAATGTTCGGGTTGACCACGGTAGCCGCGGCAGGCATGCATAATTCAAGACATGATCGTTATAACAATTGCGTTCATCCCGGGCTGCCTCATTAAATGTTCTTGGCATGAGTGAATTTCTACGCGGTAGCTGCTGTTCCTAGCAACAGGGCTTGACCGGGTGAGAAACTGTGGCAACCTTTTGGACAAGCTCCCTAAGTTAGCAAGGACCAAAATTGCACAACCATCGCACAACTGTCCTTACCAACCAAGCGATCCCGGGCCCGTCAACGGGCAAACTACTGTACTCGGAGCGGGTTAGAACCACAACTCTGAAAATTTCCCTCTCTAGAGCTTAATCTAGTGCAGAGAGAAGCACAGCCAAAGAAAAAACGCTGAATTTTCTGGCAAAAAACCAGTAGAAACAAGAACAAAGAAACCCAGAATAACTAGACAACTGCTCTCAAGATATTCTGTTCTCTTTTTTAAAGATTAACAAAATACCACAACTGGGGTTAAGCTAATCAGGGTATATACAGACAAGAAATATCCCAAAGAATATCCTAAAGAACAGCTAAACAACATACGGTATACAGAAACCTATGCGGCAGAGCATCCGTTTTACCTATGGTGTGGTCTGCAATGTGCTTGCGTTACCGTATTGTGTCCATCGGAGTCACACCAGGATATCAAAATTGAAAGAGGAATATCGCCGACAAAGTCAATGTCATCTTTTGGGGACCCAGTCTGTTGCTTGGACTGAAGCACAGCCGTGTCAGAGTGGGATTCATGGATGCTCCTGTATGTAGCAGAATGTTCTGGAAGGAGAACACCAGCTTGACTTGAACCTCGGCGAGTTCCACTATCCAAATACTCGTCTGTGACTGCAGGCTGAGGCTGCAGGAACCGAGAGAGGTAGATCCGGGTTCGGAGCAGTAGAAGCCAGTGTGGGTTTGTTGCTTAGGTAGCAGGCGAGGGAGGACAGAGATTCATTAATAGACTGGAACGCTGTCATCCATGGTTCAGGGGAGTGTTCCCATTGCTTGGAATGACGTCTCTTTTCTGTTTTGAAGAAACCGATGAAGAAGAAGACCGTTCACCCTCGGGTCTGGAACGTGGGTACCAGTAGCAGCCGACATGGTGGGGGAGGTCGGAGGCTCATCCCCTGGGGGGCAGGCGGGAACTTGGCTGGTACAGATGCCATCTTCTTGGGGCGATGAGCCAGCAGAGGAAGGCCCTGGTTTCCTGGGAATACCAAGCTGAAAGCCGGAGCTGCAGAGGGGTTGTGGAGGTCGCAAGCCACGTCGGCTTAGAAAACCCAGTAGACTCCACGGTTCCCAGTGAATTCTTGTTGGGTATTCCGGTACTGTAAGCCGAGGAATCATCAGGTGGGCCAGACCCGGTAGAACGTGGGGGGCCCGACTTGGCATTGTCAGTATGAGGCCGACTAGATGCCCGGTTGGCCGATGCTACCAAGGATTCGGCCTTGCGGGCTGACGTAGTAGCCCGGTAGGCTCCACGGTGCCCGGTGAATTCTTGTTGGGTGACCCAGAACCATGAGCCGAGGAATCATCAGGCAGGCCTGACCCGGTGGAACATGGAGGGCCCATCCTGGCATTGTCGGTATGAGGCCAACTATGGATGTCTGGTCAGCCGATGCTACCGAGGATGCGGCTCTGAGTGCTGCAGAGCTACGACAGTCCGCAGCCATTGCAGGCAGCAGGGGAGAGGAACCCCGTTAGCCCGCTGGCTTTTCTGAGCCATAGGCGGTCAATCAGCTGACTCGTTGCATCTCAGGCAGTCGGTGGAGGTGCTGGCTCAGTTGACTAGGTTGTCTGTTGGAGGGCAGAGACACAGAACGATCATAAGTCAAGAATGTCCCGGGGGAATTCTGACAACCGTGGAATATGTCACGGTTAAGGCCAAAATCCTCATCTGAGCTGCTTAGGATACGGAGCAACCACTCATGTGGCTTGGCATTGCCCTCATTCCTTAAGAGATCAGAGCTCATGCAAACAACGTGGGCTTGATCTAGCCGCATCAATCAGCTCCATGCACGACTGTTGAGTAGGAGGCACATACCGGTAGGAGCCCCTGCTTGCGGCCAAGGGTATATATCCTCGTCAGAGCCACATGAGTCAATCACTTGTGCGGCTAGGCCTTGTCCCCGTCCTACTGCCCACTCAAGCAGTTAGGCCTTAATCCACAACAGCTGCTTAAATAAGGGTATGCCCACTTGAGCGGTTAAAAGGGAAAACTGCTGAAAATTACTATTTGCCCTCTCATACAGCTAGGGTTGTGTGGATTATATGGACCACTAAAGTGTGAATGCGCCCACTTAGCCTCGTAACACTGACGGTAAACGCCTGCAGAATGCACACACAGAAAAGAAAGAAAAAGGCAACAACAACAAGGAATAGCACTCTAAGAACAAAACTAAAATCACACATGGTAAAAGTTTATTCACGAAATATGACCAGATGATTCAAGTCAACACAGAACCATGTAGCAAAAGCGGAACTCGAAAAACTTGAAGATGTCTAAAAGACACATCCAATGCGATACAGCGCTGAGAAAAGAAGGACGAACATGGCGGCATGACTGCAGTGCATAGTGGGAGGTGAAGGGGCACCATGGATGATCAAGTCTTTTCAGCAAATAGCTATACGCGCATGGGAAATTAGCATATGTAGTGACTGGGTAGGTACCGGTAGAGTGCCGTAGACTATACAAATACAATGAAAGACTTGAGAATACCTAACATCCCCCCAGCTCCCAAATTTTCTGTACACTTTTACTGAACATTACAAATTTGTTTCAAAAAATCAGATTTAGAACTGATAATAACTCAAAATTGAGGAAAACTGCACTCACAATAAAACAACAGCCAACCTGTGACAGATAGGACTTGAGGCTATGCATGGCGAAAGTACTAACTATGTGAAGTTTGCGGTGACACCATGTAATCAAATACTCTCTTTGAGTGTGTGTGGTTCTGAAAAGAACCGGGGTTCACTCGACGTTTCGAACAGTGTGCTCTGTTCGTCTTCAGGAGACAGGTGCCATATTTCTAACAAAAACGAGTGTAAAGGCAGTTCATACTGGTACATTACTTGGCACAAAGTGAAGAAAATGTGCATTTGTGGAATCATATCAAATATTTGTGCTGTGATTTTGAAACATTTGAACACATTTCCACTTGAGCAAAATTTTGCTGCAAATGTCTTGTGACTCAAATGCCATTCATTTCACATTTGCCTGAAGTATGAACCGGCATTAACATGCCTACCTGTCACATGCAAATTTTAAGCAATGACTGAAGGAAAAAAATTATTTCAATTTGCAATTCAACTTGAAGTGAGGACTGCTCAGAAGGAAAAACTTGAAAATGATTGTACATTTTAAAAATTGTAGGAATTTCACATTTTTTTAAAGTTTTAACTTCATTTCTTGCACATACATGTTGCCCCCTAATCCTCAAACTGAAACTTCCATGGAGTCGGCAGTGGCACACAGTTGAATATGGGCTGGAGTTTGGAATGAATGCGTGTATCAATGACTGAATATTAACTATACCAAACGACAGATACACGGAACACGTGGACCTCGCCATGTTCGTTACAGTGGCGTTCCACTGTACTTATCAAAATTTTGGAAATAACATGAAAAAAAAATAAATGAATAGCTAGATATGTTTTCCCTCACTAGGAATAAGGCAATTGTGCTTTCAAACATAAATTCAACTTGTCCAACAGTTCATATTTAAATTGCACAAATTGTTGATAGTTTTCAACACCCAGTAGAGTGGACTCAGATAGGAGGTAGTTCAGTATCTGGGTCATCTTAATGGGGCCGATGAAAATTAAGCAAATAAGTTTACCTTTCTTTATCACTGAATCTGATACAGGGAAAATGACCTTCAAAGTCCGAGTGTACATCTTCAACGTAAGCATCTGTAAATTGATTTAATATTCAAATTTAATTTTTTTTGTGTGTGAAACAAAGCATAGGTCTGAAATACACTTAACAGAGACTTCATAGCAAGTGCTCATGTTTAAGACTGTTTAAATAAATCATGTAAGGGGGCACAAGCACATCCCTGTTATGGCCCTTGTACTGCTACATGTATAGATGCGGTTTTGGGACAGTACATTCTATGGTCAATTTTTCTCTGTATGCTAAGAGGAGGTTAATGGAAGTGTATTTAGGACACAGTAAGACAAAGTTTAATTCATACATACGGACTATTTTGTACACGTGTACAGATTACTAAACTGTACATGTGGATTACTATGTTGTACGTACGGGTCATTCCTTTGTACGTATGGTTTGGTAAATAATGATCCTAGGAACTGGTTGCATTCAAAATTCCACTATGAGCAGAAGCATCCCCTCATCAGTTGAAAAAGCCATGCTAGTGGGGATAGTTGCATTGTTGGTAGGACCGGACACGTAAACAACGTACATGTATGTATCTCACTGTCTTTCGGGGACCAGCAAAGTTAAGTTCCTACCAAAGGAACCTCTGTTGCTGGGAAATTGCACCCTCTCTTGGTCCCGCTCGGGCCCAATGAACTGAAGGTTAGTAATCCAATAGAAGATGTGCATTACTAATCCATACGTATGGCTTTGTAATCTGTACGTATGAAATTGTAATCCGTACCTACAAAAAAGTAATCCATACGTATTAAATAGTAATCCATATATGAATTAACCACTTCTTGCCAGGCGACCCGTTTTTTAGTACATAGGCTTTATACGCAGAGCCGGGAGTACTCGAAATCGGGACAAAAGAGTTGGGCCTTGTAACATAAGACCATGCTCGGCACAAAAGACTGAGCTGCTGGACATTATGAACATTTTTTTACTCTCAATAGTGGAGATAATCCAGCCTTGTTTTGAAATAGTATACCAAGGTTTTGGGCATTTACCATATATCACCGGGGACATTACATATCACCGGGGACAAAAGCGCTCCAGCACCGCTGCATGCTAATCTGGCCCCTATTGAAAAGAGGTCAGCGGTGCACTGTGCCGGGTTCGTGACAAAAGAAGGTTACGTAACACTGCACAATCTGGGCTCTTTTTACAAGGCTGCAGGCCTGGCTGAAATACTCCTACGCCAATAAAGGTCACCTGTCATCTTAGACTAGCACCAAAGAGCCCTTCATGTGGGTATAAACATCCGTAAAATGAAATGATAAATTGTTGAAGAATTTTGAAAACTGAAATTCTTGAATACGACCCGTATATGTGCACTGCATTTTCAAAGCACCCAGCAGCGAGTGGTTAATTTTTGTTCCTACCATGTCCTAAATCTAACAGGAGATTCCGTAAGAATCTCCTGTTAGAATACAGAAAAAAAAATTACAATATAATGTGCCGTCCCAACACAGCAACTTCCGTGATGTCAATTGACATAGAATCTACCTTATACAGTGCATGTAATGTTCCCCTCAAAATATGAATCACAGAGGGAAGCATTGCATTTGGGTCACTCTCTATCATATTAAGCCCAAAGTATACATTTTTGTGATTGTGGGTATTTCCCACACACAGTGCTTTGGGTAATATTCGCCACAGTTCCTTACCTTAATGCTATCAAAACACAAACTGCAACATGGACATACGGAAACATGCCAAACGGTGGTGTTGCCAACAACCCAGACAAAGGCAAACCAGCCCGCAAACCCGCAAACCAGCCCAATCGGCAAAGTTGAGCCAGGTTCAACTTTGCTGACTGTCTGCGTTGAGTAGCCATGGTATCTCCATACAAACATGCATACTGGCATGACCCGCATGAAATGATGTCTCTCTCGCTTAGTTCCACAAATGTTGCCAATCTTCTCCTTAATTCTTGAATATTATACTCTCATGATCAACTAAATAGCTATCAATGAAATGCATGAAATTGGAGTACGGGTTTGGCATCATGAGGCTGTACAGTCTATGTAAAATGGTATTTTCCTCAAAAAGCCACAGTTTAGGATGTCATATTGTGTCAATTTTTGGGTGGAATGACATCATGCACCGTTTCTGCTGTTTGTGTCTGTGTCTTTATGTCTTGCAGACTGTCTACTTTACAAATGACCATATGGAAACCAGGCTTTACATGCATAGTATTGAGACTTTCTGTGGAAATATTTTGATGTGTACTGTACATGTACCTATATGTGTTTTCCTTTTAGTTACTCAGTTTTTGATTATGAGATATACTGGTGGAGGCCAATTTCTCTGTTTACCCATGGAGTAATAAATAATTTACCATTAAAATGGGTACCAATTTGTGTGTGTTGTGTGTGTAGCTATTGTATGATTATGAATGAACTCTGAACTATGAATGAACCAAAATAATAATTAACCAAATACATTATAAAGTAAAAGAGGAGGAAAATACATGTAACTGCAAGGTACAAAGTAAAAGGGAATTTGGATTGGTTCAAACTTAAATTTTATTTATGAAAAGGAATTTTCCTCATGCAAAAAAAGGTCCCCATTTCACTATTAACCGCAAACACAATAGTAAAGCGCTGCCCCTTCATAAAAACCTATGATACCAAACAATAAACCTCTCTAGTTTCACGCTGAGATTTCTTCTGTATCTATAATTATCTGCTAGTCAACTGAGAGTGATCTTTGGACTTGCACTAACAATATGTAAACTGATGCAAAAGTGTGATCATACCTTAAGCAAGCACATGCATAATGTACGGTAGTAGGCATGCGAACACCTTGAGTCAATAACTACAAGTATTAGACTGTGATATCTTAACTCCTCATGTTTTTCCTTGAATCCACAGCATTTTACTGTCAAGAGGGACACATCACCCTGTGGTGGACTTGCTGATTATGCTTGGCCAAGAAAAACATCTCTTTTCAAAGGGAAAGAGCATCATTCATCTGCAAATTAACCCTGCATGTGTGTTGTTCGCTTACTCAGGAATGCCCTGTAGTCCATGTATTTAGCTAAAGATGAATGACATGTACCTGATCTTGATTTGACAGTCGAAACTACCCTGTGTTTTTCTAAGTTTCAATCTTGATTTGACTATTAAAAATACCCTGTGTTTTTCTAAGTTTTCTCAGAGCAGTTGACTCAAAACATAAATCAAGCCAATACAATGAGAGCTGTCATAAATTTGAAACCCCAAAACTGACCTTTTGTATAAAATTACGTTTAAAAAATTAAGGGCATTCTGTATCTTTTACAATCCAGAAAAAGGGTGCTTTGGAAAGTGTTTTGATATCAACAGTTCTCAGTAATATATTACTTAAGCTACACTGGAAAGATTTTAGAGTAAGCCTATAAGCTACCCATGCGCATAAATCTACAGGAATGCTCAAATTTAAAACTTGTAAAATCCTTTTTTGTGCAAAATGCCTTATTTCTCGATCGGAGGTGGATAGAATGATGATTTTGCTAGAAAGTTACATATACTACCGGTAGATCCTTTACACAACTTTGTGTAACGTTTATAAAACACTACAAGACTTACCCTCGGGTATGAGAGCTTCAAAAGCTCTAACAAGGATTTCAGGTGGAAAATTTTGCTCAGGAACCTCCATGCCAAGATTCACATCACTGTCTTGAAAACCAAACCCACTCAATGATGAGCCATACAGATTCACTTCCACATCTGTAACAAAAATAGACAGACGGGAACAACCCCAGAGTTGTTCATTTGGGGGTAACAAGTATTATTTCTTGTCATTTCCTCGAATTTGGGCAATCACATTTAAATTCCTAATTGCTTGTTGTATGGGGTTTTAAAATGTATATATGTACTGGTGGGAAATCATCATATGCAACGGGTTCTACGCATTTGGTGTGGGATACAGTGACAATACATGACCACTGTAAGTTCAGTTTCAATGTATGGTCTTCACTGCGTGGTGTATGCATACCGCCATGCCTCTTCTTTGTTGATGAGAGTACACTTGACTCTGGGTAGATTAACATCCTTTGAGGACAAGATAAAAAATACATTGACCGTTCGCACACATTCCTCCTGTTCTGCATGTCCTCCTGTTCTTTTGTGTTTGAAATAGCATTTGTATTGCGCTCCTCACATCTGGGAAAGGTGACACCATTCCAAGACTTGAGTCACTTAAAGCATCGCAACAAAGATACAAAGAACATTGGCAGTTTGGATGTTCTAAATAAAAATGATTACACGAGAGAGCAGGGAAATAATAATAATAATGCAGCAGGTTCGGTGATCAGAATAAAAAGAGCGTAGTGGGGCGAGAAGAATAAAAACCACACATGATCCAGATTTGGATTGAAAAGAAATGCTGAGGTTGGAAGAACTTATGTTTTGGTGTGTCGGGTGCTCGGAATAAAAAAAAAGTGGTAGGGTAGGGAAACAATAAAAACGACACTTGGTCAAGGTTTAGATGGAAAAGAAATGCTGAAATGGGAAGGATTGATGTTTTTGGTGGGTTGGATGCTTGGAATAAAAATATTTAGCAGTGATGAAGGGAAAAAAACCACATATGGTCCAGGTTTGGGTAGAAAGGAATAAAAACACTTTTGGCAGGTTGGATGCTCGGAATGAAAAAAACGTTAGCAGTGGGGTGGGGAAAACATAAAAACCACACATGGTCTAGGTTTGGATAAAGAAATGCTGAGGTGGGAAGAATTCATCTTTTTGACGGGTTGGGTGCTCAGAATAAAAACAAGATGTGGTGGGCATGGAAAAATAAAAACCACACGTGATCCAGGTTTGGATAGAATCTTAGTGGGGTTGGATGCTCAGAACAAAATTATTTAGTGGTGGGTCAGGAAAAAATAAAAACCCAAGTGGTCCAGGTTTGGATAGAAAAGAAGTGTCGAGATGGAAAGAATTGACGGGTTGGACGCTCATATTAAATAAAATATTTTGCAGTGGGCAGGAAAAAATGAAAGTCTCATGTGGTTCAAGTTTAGATAAAGAAATGCTGAGGCAGGCTTTGTCAATCAAAAGATGCAACCACTAAAAAGTCAGTTGATCCCGTATCTTCGGGAAACTTACAATTTTGATAATTTTCAATACATGACAGTCGGTTGCCTACCAATATTTGGTTGGATGAAAGCTCGTTCTCAGAGAATTTATTTGAAATACACTCCCGATTTTATCCCCCCCCCCGTTCAGTGTATTTCTCTCTTGGTCTGAAACATAATTAATGGCGTGCAAATTATTCTCACACAAACATATATACATAAATATTTCCTGGAAATTCACTTTTCCTCTCTAACTACTCGACCATGTTTCTACATGAAAACAGACAACCCACCTCCAAACCTTTTACCAAACGTCAAGAGATGAATTCAAGACCACATTTTATCCTGGCACTTGCTGCAAACAGAATGTTGTGGGAGGCCACGGTTGATTTTATATGGATATATATAAATGTAACCGAATAGTTAAATATTCAAATTTTATTAATAAATCACTTGATGACGTCATCATGACGTAAATATTTCAGAATTATCTTCATTTTATAGTTAGTGCTTGCTGTAAGTTTGATGACGATCAAAGATTACTAAGGTATGAAAATAGCGCCTTGAAAACGTGTACAAAGTCAAAGGGCTAAAATAAATATTGAAAAATCAATAATAAATTGCTTGATGACGTCATCATGACGCAATGTTTCTAGGACCATCTGTGCATAACGGTTCATTGTTGGTAAAAGTTTGATGATGATCCAAAGTTGAAAAAGCATTAAAGTGGCGGCAACAAATTTGTTTGGTGTACCAAACAAATGGGCTTTTAAACAGAAGAAGAAGAAAAACAAGAGCCTATCTGTCTGTTTGGCAACAGAATAGAGGGCTTTTTCGCATTCTTTTGTACATCTGAACAACTACGGCATCATGACATCAAGTCATTTTTCGTATATAACACCCCTCTTTTAAGTTATCTGCAAAGTTTTAACTTGATAGAAAATGTACTTCGGGAGATATTGGGCTTTAAACAGTCACCTTTAATCATGTTAATGTGACGTGACTTGTCTCCTGATGACGTCATCATCATATCAGTTTGAAAATCCTCTAAAGCACTCCCTTTTCAAGACCCAATCGGACATCTACTTCGGGAGATACGGGGCCTTAAACAGTGCACCTTTAATGTCACGTGACTTGTCTCCTGATGACATCATCCTCAGGTAAGGTCAATATTCCTCTAAGGCACTCCCTTTTCAAATATCTGCAAGATTTGAACCCGATTGAACATCTACTTCAGGAGATATATGGCTTTAAAGAGTGCACATGTAATGTCACGTGACTTGCCTCCGGATGATGTCATCATCACATGGGGTTAAAACTCCTCTAAAGCACTCTGTTTTCAAGATATCTGTAAGATTTGAACACAATCGGACATGTAAATGTACTTCAGGAGATATGGGCCTTACAGAGTGTATTCTCAGTCGACATTAGTCTGCAAAATCCACCTCATTTGCATATTCATAAATACATGTTTGTATTAACACTATAAAAAAACAAAATTCTTTGATAATATCTAACTTATCAATAATTGCTTGCACATTTCAGATATTCTGTGTACAAAATTTACGAAAGAGAGTGAAGGACCACTATTGATGACATCTGTTGCACTCTCCTGGACATTTTGGCGCAAAAATGAATTTCAGTTTTGATAACAGTGACAACAAAGTTGTACTGTATTCATCGGCAGACAACGCCATGTGGGATCTGTAAGTTAAGGGTCTGGTGTTGTCATTGACTTCATCACCTGTCGCGTTTGGGGTTCATGACTTAATACATCCCCACGCAAATAAGGTATCACGCCCTTTTTTAACCCCTTAAGACCGGGAACCCGTTGACAGCCTCAGCTTTGTGTGAGGATTAGTGCATACCACACGTACAGTCTATTCACCATGCAGCTGCTGGTTCAATGGGGCATGCTGATGAACAAAACCCTCCATTCAGGGCATACCACAGCCCAGCAGTCACGGTCAAAAGAATTCCCGGTGCGAAGGGGTTAAGCGAACAACAGAGTAGAATCCATGCAAAATTAATAACACTTAACATTTCGATAATGTCATTATGAAAAAGGGATATATCGATATTGGACAAAAGATGATGTCGACGGTGACTACATCAATATTTGATTTGAAGAATACTCTACCCAACCGAATTTAATGGAACATTAGAAATTTAATAATAAATCACTTGATGACATCATCATGACGTAACTATTTACGTATTATCTTCGATTTATGGGGAATACTTGGTGTAACTTTTATAACAATCAAATATTGCTAATTTATCAAAATAGTGCCTCGAAAACGTGTACAAAGTCAATGGACTGAAATAAATATTGAAAAATCAATAATAGATCACTTGATGACGTCATGACCATGATGTGCAGAAGGACCATCTGTGCATAAGGGTTCTTCATTGGTAGAAGTTTGATGAAGATCCAAAGTTGCAAAAGCATTAAAGTGGCGGCAACAAAAAACATGTACCAAAACAAATGGGCTTTTGAGCAGAAGAAGAAGCAAAAAAGGTAACAAAAAGAATGACTTTTTTCGCAAAATTGCAAAAAAAGCAAAAAAAAATTCAGAACAAAAAGAATGCCTTTTTCATAAAATTGCAAAAAAAACAAAAAAAGAACAAAAAGAATGTCTTTTCCCAAAATTGCAAACCCCCCAAAAAAAGAACAAAAAGAATGCCTTTTCACAAAATTGCAAAAAGCCAAAAAAAAATTTTTTAAACCCTTTAACGAAAACAATAGCTGCTTCAACAGTACACTAAAGCAGCTAAAGATGTAGCAAAACAAAGCCTTTTTCACACAGTGTACTATGCAGAAAAGCCATTAAGAAGGCTGAACATGGCGTCTGCTACACTGCGCATCATGAGACTAGAGGGCGCACTACAGTTGATCAAGTATTCAGTAAATGGAATCATACGCAAAGGAAATTTTAATATTTAGTGACTGTTTGGGTAGGTTGAAAGCAAAAAGCTCTTCCTGTGTTCATCTTTGTAAGATATTAACGGAAATGTGCTGAAGTCATATGGGCTAACCTGGGATTGTTCTGCGCAGCATTGACTGCAGTCTGTCTGCAATGATAGATCTGCTTTGGAGGTCACTGTCCTTCAGGGTAATCTTGGAGATGGTAGCTTCTAGAAGAGTGGTTAAAGCCTCAGCATGTGCCTTGCTCGGAGCTCCAATACGTCTTATTTCTTTCAGGTTGCTTTGGCTCTGATAAAACAAACATCTTTCAGAGTTAAGTGTCAAAAGACTGCAAAACCATTGTACAAGTACCAAATCTAAAAATAATAAAAGGAAAGAAATAAATAAAAACAGACATGCCGACATAGTACTGTAGTTGCAAGGACCACACATGTTGTTATCGTGGAGGCAAATTCAAACTGGGGGCAAAATGGTTGTCCACAAACTCTGTACTTTTTAACAAATGAATTGTCTCCCCAAGTTGGTTCCAGCCAGGGCACACACAAACACACTACAAACACAAATAAATGCTTGAATGAAAGAAATGTTGTGCGGATCTGCTTACAATTCAATTATCGATCAATTTCAAGATAAATATACAAGCAAAAGTGCGACTATGAAGGACAATCAAACCCTTTTCGTAATTATTAATGTACAATAGATCAATTATCTGTCCATGAGTTCAATGCTAGTGATGTACTCAGTGCGAAGAAGAATTAGTGCCAAAAAGACTGGAACATGTTTGCGTAGAAACAGAATGCTTTTCATAAAAAATCAAACTCATTTCCACGCCTGATAATATTTAAAACAGGGTGTACTTTAAAGTATCAAATGCTTTACAGACTTAAAGAATCAAACTTTACAGACCTAACATATTTTCCAAAAATATGTTATGTTATTCCAATTTTCGAATAAAGTTTTGTGGACCTACACGTACATGTATATGTTGCATGTTTCAGAAATACAAATAAAATTACAGACCTAACATTCTTGAAATGTTGCAAATACTGCACAATTCCAGGATGGATTTGATGCCAGAGTGACACACACTAATGTACAGTTAAGGCCAAAGTAAAGGTTCACGCGATGACATGATATATTGATCACACACACGTTAGGCGCAATACACATTCCTGATACATCATGCAGGGTGTCCTCAATACACGCACTAAAAAGGGTTGGCCCGACAACGGAAACGTGTATTGGGTAAACCGCACACGCAATGCCTTAAGTGGTGTCACTGACCTGTGAACGTGAAGCAGGGAAATGCTCCATGCTTGCAAACGGGCACTACATTCTGTTCACCACAATTACATGCATGTTGGCATGTCTATGAAATCGTGGCATACATGTTAAACCCCTTTTAAATTTAAGAGCCCAATGTTTAAAAATCCGATCACGATGCAAAACGAACTACACTGAGTTGACAACGTGCAATAATGACCATAAAATAATGCTTATGATATCGATCGGTGCACCCTTGGTGTAGATATTAATGTCACCAAGCAGTCTGTTCATGAAGAGTGCTGGCTTGATTTGATTCGGCACAACTGATTCACGAAATCTCATGAAATGGGATTAACGATCCACCTTTAGTGAAAAAGATAACTCTTGCCGCTCCGAAATGATCTGGATTGCACAGGATCACCATGAATAATTTCCTGACGGGTTAACGTACAGAACATCTCCGTACATGGAAAAGGACAACATTAATCCACTGGGGCATCCATTTCTTCAGCCAGATCGGACATAAAGTGAATTCAACATTGCTTGCTCGTGTTGTGTGTCTGGTGAGATCAGTTGGGGAAAACACGAGTAAAACAATTGCTTCTTTGTTCCCAGGAATGGGTAGTTTTTTTTTAATCAATTCTCCCAGGAATTTCAAGGAAGAATCAGCAGCACTGAATTTTTTTTTCTAGGCGTAGGTCTAAAGGTTGTCGGCTGGTCGTCTCTTTCTCCAGTGGATAAATTTGTTCATACCGATATTGACATCGGTCAATCAAATTATATGTCGCATCATGTCCACAAAACATCGTTCGTACAAGTGTACTTTTCCGTGAAGTGGATACTTCCAACGAAAATAGCTTTGTCAAATGTGTGAGGATTTATCTGGCCGCTGGGTCGCTACTCACTGTTCGTTGGCAGTTGTGAATTCACTTGCTTCAATTACCGACAGTTTTACAGATGATTGTTCTCAGTCTCACACAGAACACACAAACACTTCCTTTTAGGCTGAGTGTGTTTTGGTGCATCGCGCTGAATATGGGCTGATAAATAAGTGAATTTGACACCAGTTTGCCAACTGCTTGGTCGAGTGTCATCCAGTTAGGTTAGTTGGGTAAGACTTGGGTGAAAAATTACGTCCTTGTTCACACAAGTTTGACGGTCATCATGATTTTTAAAGGAAATTGAAGAAGGGTCAGCTGCATAAAAAAGCATTCTTCGGCGATAGAAGCCACAGGGTCGATTGGGTGGTTGGTCACCCGTCCACTGAAAAAAAATTGTTTCACAATTTCAGTGACGACAGTCAACTCCACGTTTTGCATTAAATTTGCTGGGCATGACACGGTTTCCTTAAATTCAAAGAAATTACGGCTTTGCTTTCCGCCAAAAATCCATTTGCATCATCGTGCAGCTAGGAAAAATAGTTATTTCAAAGAACGGTTTGCAAAATCATATTTGGGGATTGGGTATATTCTTTTTCTCGTACACATATTTTTACGCAAACATTCTATCGGCTTTTGTTTTCGTGAAGAGGCGACTTTGAACACAGATAGCTTTGTTAAATGTGTGGGGGTTCATCCGGCCGCTGGGCCACTACTGCCAATTTTTTTCCGTTGGGAGTTATTGAATTTTTGCTCAGATCACACACTGCACTTTTGTTCTCAAACTGGACACAAAAATATTGCCTGTGAGGCATTGCGTGCTTCTTTGTGTATCGCACTGAATATGAGCTGATATATATGTGAATTTGACACCAGTTTGCCAAGCACTTATTCGTGTGTCGTGTTCGGCGACGCACGCAGGGATTGCAGTTGACTGAAATTGGCTTGGGATCGGTTGGGGCTTAGTGGTCTCTCAGGGCTAACCGCAACTGCGCCACTGCAGCGATAAGCCACACAGCACCGCTGCATGCTAATCTGGCCCCTATTGGAAAGAGGTCAGCAGCACACTGAGCCAGGTTCGTGAATAAAAGAAAGTTGTATAACACCACACAATCTGGGCTCTTTTTACAAGGCTGCAGGCCTGGCTGAAATACTCAGGCGTCAATAGATTTTGCCTGTTAGGCTAGAGGGGCCACTAGACAGTCCTTCAGGTGTTTGTAAGTGTCCAGTAAATGAAGATAAGAATTTTTTAAGAATTTTGAAAACAGAAAAAAAATGATAATTATCCCGGACCAGCATCATCAACATTGATAACTGCCGCAAGCAGCAAGTGGTTAACCACACTCCCTGGTCGGCAACCCGTTTTCACGTACATAGGCTTCATATGCAGAGCCGGGGAGCCCGGAACTGGGACAAAAGAGTTGGGCCTTATAAGAAAAGACTATGCTCAGCGCAAAAGACTGAGCTGCTGGGCATTACCGACATTTTTTCGCTCTCAGTAGTGGAGATAATCCAGCCTTGTTTTGAAACAGTATACCACGGTTTGGGGCAGTTCATGCGAGCAGATTACCACCAGGGACAAAAGCGCTCCACCACCACAGCGATGAGCCACACAGCACCACTGCATGCTAATCTGGCCCCTACTGAAAAGAGGTCAGCAGCGCACTGTGCCTGGTTCTTGAACAAAAGAAAGTCACGTAACACCACACAATCTGGGCTCTTTTTACAAGGCGGCAGGCCTGGCTGAAATACTCCAGTGTCAGTAGATATTGTATGTCAGATTAGAATGGAAACCAGACAGTCCTTTGTGTGGGTGTAAGTGTCCAATTAATGAAGATATGAATTTTTTCAGAATTTTGAAAACAGAAAAAAATAGAAATCATCCCTCCCAGTATCAATATTCATACATGCCCCGGCATGAAGTACATGTAGTTAAAAGTTCATAAAATTATTTTGAACTTGGTCTAGTAGACAATTGCTAACCAATGCGGTTCAAAAAGAATGGGCGCTACATGGTCAAACCTTGACACCATTGAAACGAGTCACGCAGCTGCATTTTGTAAAATTTGTAATTTTGATATTTGAGTATTGGGTAAACCATGTAGTAAACTATTACAGTAATGTAGACGAGTAGTAACAAATGCATGAATGATAGTGAGTAATGAGTCTCGAGGTACTGATTTTCATAAGATTCTGGAAGATGAAAGAATGCTACCAAGCAAACCATAGAAATATGAGTATTCATATATACTTCAGAGTCAAACAAGGATCTTAGTTCCTAACATATGAACCAGGGACAGTGTACATGTAGATGACTCAGAGGAACAGTAGATGGACTGAAGGCCTGAAAGTTAGCGATTTTCAGATCCATCAACTATAGCCAGGATAGAGTCGCCAGGAACTGAAACACTGTGGAGTGTTCAGGATTAGGTATGGGCGACAAGCGAATTTTAGTAGTTGTGGGGACTATCAATAAACAATCACGACTAGTCGACTAGTCGCGACTATTTTAATTGTTTTTTTATCCATTGAAAAACCATGTCCGCGGTTAACATTAACATAACACAGGGTAAATTTGGGATGATGTCACACTGTGTGTTTCACTTTTTCTGTTTGGATGGTTGGACTTTTATCCTGTCATGAACGAAATATGAGGCTTTTTAAGATAAAACTTTCATCAAAAACGCTTGTGATATTCCTTCTTTGCTTCTCTGCTTACTGCCACTTTCTGTAAGGAAACCTCAATTGTTCCGCAATGCGATCAACAACTTTGCAGAGGTGAAAAGCACCTCCAACTGGTGCCGGACCGGACCTGTGACACGGTGCTACGATTGCAACAGTGAAGGACAAGGACCAGTTTATAGCTGGGCAGCGTACGTGCGCACACTGAATCAGGCTGAGGGCTCCCTTCAGTTGTTGAGTCTGACAATTGTAAACATGTCAAATAAAACATTGATGAAGAAGGGAATTAGCAGCAGATTTGATCCACGAATATGATTTTAATAGTTTCTGTGTATGTATCCAATGTTTTAATGTCTTTATTTTGAGTTGCACTGTTCTCACAAGAGACAATACACTCATGCAGCAAAGCAAATTTTTGAGAATTTTTTTGTGCATGTGGTTTGTGGCCCGTGTGGACC